GTCTCACACACTCTCTCACTCTCTCTCAGTCTCACACACACACACAAGCACACATATATATTTGTGTATTTAGGTATTGAAAGCAACAGACAAGGTGCTTTGATTTAGTTTTTTATACAATTTCTCATGCGATCTAATAATTTTTTTCATTTTGGATGATAAATTATATAAAAACTGTTTGAATGTTCTTTTCCGAGCATTTTCAGCTATACATTTAGCCATTTTAAAGGATGAAATATTTTAACTATTAAATAAGAAATAGTTTGTTACATGTATGTATTTATATAATATTTTCATTTTTTTTTTTTTTTTTTTTTTTTTCAGAACACAGTCAAGATATTGTCTCCCTGTTAAGAATTGATATTGAGTTTTTTTTTTTTATTAATAAGGCTTCCATTATTTTTAGCCTTTTTTGCATGTAGATGATGCTATTATAGTTGTGTTATCAACAAGTATGTTACGAATACTGTCTGGTAGCTTTAAATGAGATCTAATTGAGCTATGGTCAGAAAGGTGTAGAGTGAGTCTGTCTGTGAAACATGTAGTGTGGCCTAAATAATTATTTACAAATTTTGATTGATCAGGAATACAATTCCTTAATGGCCATTTAAATTCCTAAATATTTGGCCTACTTAATGTTGAGGCAAATTATTATTTTTAACTATAAGGTTAGAGGTTTTAAATTTTTTGTAATAAATAATTAATCGAATATTTTTTGCTATTATCAACTGGTGTTATGCATTGTTTATAATGTTCTTAATTCTACTTTCATCTTGTTTATGATTTTCATTCATTTGATTTTTATAAAAAATATTAATGTTATTATTTATGTTTCTCTTCCCATCATTGCTATTAGCTACTTTAGACAGAAAACGCCTTTTATGGAAATCCAACAATTAGAAAATCCGTTATTAAAAAGCATTTGTTTTACGTTCTTTAAAGAAATGCGTGCGAGAGGATGAATTCTCGTGCGCTCTCGTGAGGAAATTTTTAATAACACCTATTTTATATCTAAGAGGGCATTCACTAGAGAAATTAAGATAGCAAAAGTCTTTACTAGTTTTTTTTTTTTTTTTTATAAACGGAAGTTTTAAATGTATTAATACTAAAAACAACAGGAACATCTAAGGAAGTTTATTTTTCTTCACTAAGTTCATTAGTAAAAATAGTGTGTGTGTGTCAAACGAATGTTTGACGGATTTGCACCAAAATTTACATGCACATGCTCCAAGTTAGTAGGAAGGCTAAGACTGACTTTGCATTTTCCAACTCCCATCGATAGTGGAAATAATCAATTTTTTTTTCATATCTTCTATGGCACTTTTCATGTAGTTTGCAGTCATTTTGTACTGGCCAGAGTGAGAGCCTATAGCTGGCTACTATGAATAGGCAGGAAGATTCTATTCGCCAGCATGAGAGCCAACAGCTGACTGACACGAATGTTAACTAGCATGCAAAAAAATCGATAGCTGCATTCGTCGCAAGTGGGAAAAATTAAAATCTGCACGGCACTTTACTCCAATTGGCTCATTTGCTTCCTTAAACTCAACGTTGATTCTGATTCTGCAGAACTGGGTTAGGTGTGAAAAAGTATTTGTTGTTAATATTCTTTTTTTTCATTCAGTTTTTCCAGTTACGAGTCCTTTTTTAAAGCTGATCGTTTTGTGTTCATTTTGTTTAGTTCTTTTTTTCGTAACAGATTTAATGTTTAGTATAGAGCTTAGAAAAAATTCAGTGTGAGATAGGCAAGAAGTAAGGCATGTAGCAACATCAGCATGGCAAAGGACACTCCTTTAAAGGCAAGGAAGGGCAAAAATATTTTAAGTCAAGTGATAGCGATTGCACTATGAGTTGTATGATTTTTGAATCAAGCATGGGCAACGCCAGGCCATGCCGCTAGTAGGACATAATAATTGGAGAAGCACAGCCCGTGAGAGTTTCTTATACTTACTCCATCAGTTTGTGTGTAAATAGTACCATTTTGTCTATAAAAAGGAACTCTAGTGGTGCAAGCAAACAATAGTTTTCTGAAAATATTGGGTTGGATTGATGGAGGTGGAATTAAATTTTTAAGCACTGAATTAATGATAATATCAATAGTTTTGGAGACGGGAACGTTTAGTAAATAAATTCTCTACATCAAGTGACACAAGAATGTCGTGGTTTGTTTTTACTTTTGCTCTTTTAAGTATTTGAAGGAATTCATGGGTAGATTTAAAGCTATAAGTGAGTAGGAAGATATGGGGTAATAATATCATTGAGAAATTTTGATAGTTGGTATATACATGTTGGAATCCGAGAAATGATAGGTCATAATGAGTATCCCTATTCATAACATACTTGTTGGCAACACAAATATAATAACGTCATCTACATGCAAAATATGGCTAATAAAAATGGAAGCTTTATTAATAAAAACAAAAAAAACCAACACTCAATAATATCAACTATGAACATGGACACAATATCTTGACCGTGTTTTTAAAAAAAAAAAAGAAAAAAATGAAAACATTATATATACATGCAACAAACTATTTCTTATTTAGCAGTTAAAATATTTCATCCTTGAAAATGGCTAAATGTATAGCCGAAAGCGCTCGGATAAAAAGAACATTCAGACAGTTTTTATATAATTTGTCATCAGAAAAGGAAAAAAATATTAGAACGCGTGAGAAATTGTATAAAAAGAACTAAAAGCACTTGTCTGTCGTATTCAATGAAATATATATATATATATATATATGTTTGAATAAAAACAGACCACTTTAAGGTTCCATGTAATAAGTTATTTCACCACAACCCCTTTAACAGGGCTCTGGATCATCAGACTTTACTTCCAATGGTTGAAATGAAAAGAAATTGACAGACCGCATCAAGCATATGTAAAAATTAACGAAGTGAGGAAGTATAGTGGGAGAGAAGATAAGATATGAGTGGGTTAGATGTACCATTTCAATTCCTTATTCTTAACCACACTGTGTCGGCTAACGCATATTGTCTCTAGATATAGATGGGTAAGGGGTGAGGGAGAAGACCGACATTAAAGGAAGAAGCTATAACAACCCATAATAAATTAAATTCCACGAGGGCAGGTTTCATTCAAATTCTTAGATGCTGTTAATTCGCATTACTTTAAAGGGTATATTTGGGAGGTTAAGGTTTGATATAAATCTAAATGTCTAGACAATCTACGAAGAATTTAATTTGAAGTTCGTTGGAGTTTTGGGTATTTTCTATGAAACAGTTGATTGGAAAAACTCATAGAGAGTACATTGAAAAAGTAATCCATTTTATATTTAGTAATCTTTTTTATTTTTCTAAACTTGTATCTTATTGATTGTTAAGTTGAGACATCTATTCGTTTGAGAGATGGTATTAAAATTTTAAATGCTGTTCTTAAAAATTGAATTAATTTAGATACAGTGAAACCTTAGTTCTTGAACTTTTGTGCCTTTAAGTATTTGGGGGAATTCATGGGTAGATGTAATGCTATAGTTAGTAGGGAGATATGGGGTATCATTGAGAAATTTTGATAGTTGGTATATACATGTTGGAATCTGAGAAATGATAAGTCATTAACTTCAGAATGAAGATTCACCAGAAAATCTATCTTAGGAATTGATTGAAAAGCAAAAAAAATATTTTCCATCCTATTATACTTATACTTGTTCTTCCTTTCATTAGTTTACACGACCTTTGCCCCCTGCCAATACAACAATAATTGACTTTTTTTTTATTGCTTGGAAAAGACACTACTTGGTTTCAGTGAGTAAATGAATGAAAGAAATCAGGTAAGATAGAAGTGCTTAATGTCTGTTTCAATGAAATGAAAAAAGTTGTCAGTTTCAAATCTTTTCATTTGTACCCACTTCTTAATGATCAGCATTCTTACTTATGGTGGTTGTTGCAATATTTCGTCAAAGTTGTTAAACTTGAATATTAAACAAATGCAGTAGGAGAATTTCTACAGATATTTTAATGTCGTAGAACTCACAGTGAGCTTATTCAATCATTAACTTCAGAACGAAGATTCACCAGAAAATTCAAATAGAAAAAAATATAAAATTTTATTGGCTTAAAACTCATAAGAATTAATTGAAAATGGAATAATCCAATACACCCACCTGATTATTGAAACCTGCATACCCATGAATACATTCTTATATATCCTTGTTTCGATCGAGCACTCTAGAGAAAGGGTAATTTCAGAACACTGGCTGCTACTGCTATTAATGCACCACTCTTCAGTTATGAATTGAGCTCTCCTGGCCACTGGCCATTATACACACCTCGTATATAATGTTAAAATTTTCCCTTTCTCTGCTGTGCACCGATAGCTTAGGGGTAAGATCTTTGACTGATGCCAAATCGGTCGAATTTCTATCTCAGATTGAAGTAATCAGACATCTAGCCAGACTGATGAGCTGTGATACAGCAAAACAAGCTCATATGAATGACTAATATATATATCTGTATATAATATAATTTTATTTTTTAATCTGGCATATTTTTAATACTTCAAATATTGTTCTTAATGGATACCTGTATTTAAGTAGACATGCTGCTTTTACTGTTTTTTTTTTGTTTTTTTTTTTGTTTAAGCTGTTTTTGTCTTAAGAAAACTTAATCGAAGGGCATATTTTAGGTTTTCTCAAATATTCAGGCTGGTAGACATAACAAATACTGTTTAAAAAGTTAAAAAAATGGAGTGTCTGCTAAAATACCAATAAGGAAAAACTTAACTAGGACAAAATGAAAAAAAATTATTTAAACTCAAGATAAAATTCGTCACAACTACTTCTAAAACAAAGAAAGATTAACACAAAATAATAATAAGCTGAAACTTGAAAGAGGAATTTACTCTATAACCTGTAATAATTGCCACAAGGAATATATCAGAGAAACCTCAAGGAATTTAAATAAAAGATTCCATGAACACAAAAGGGATCTTTTACAAAGCAACACATTAAATGCATTAGTTGCTAACCGTAATGAGTCTA